GTAGCGCAACTACGCACGGCGATCTGTAATTGATTGTTAATGCTCTCGACTTCTGGTCAGTCATCATATATCTGTGTGACAGCGTCGCAGCCATATGCCACTGACACGGCCATATGACGATTGAGTATAAACCAGAGGTCGCAATCGGGTACCCGATACCCGTATCCTACCTACACGTACCCGGCCGGGTACGGGTAGGGTACGGGTATCGGGTAGGGTACGGTACCCGTTTGCGACCCTGGTGCGGCCGGGTACGGGTAAGGAATCACAACCCGTTTGCGCCTCTGGTATAAACGAATCCTGCCCACAACCGAGTGGCGTAGGGGAGGGGGACCCCCTGCAGGAGGAGGCACGCGGCAGCTCTGAAGCGGAGAGAGTTGCCATGGGAGCTGGACGTACCCCCCCGTCCCCCCCCCCACGCAGCTCGTGTGCGTCTCGGGAAGCGGCAGGAGACCTTCGGTGCGAGTGGACGTGGCGGGTGAACAAACGTCACGTCGAGGGGAAATCACGGGACCTCCTTTGCCAGTACCAACTATACTCAGGGTTTTCCCCTTTTATCTGGCATAAAACTGACACCTTTTGCACGGAATCATGTGCGCCTTTTGGCGTCATCTGGTCGAACACCATATGGGACTAGGCTCTAAAGAAAGCTGTCTCTGGTGTGGACCAATCAGTTTTCAAAGACAATGCATACATTATCAGAGTATTGTTTTTTTGTTTGTATTTGACTGCGAGTATAGTGGTTAATGTAAGCATGATTCCTTGCAAAAGGTGTCAGTTTTGTTGCCAGAAAAAAGGGGAAAACCACCTATTGGTCGAGGGGAAACTCGCTTGTTGCCGGCGGAGGGACCCCCGGCGACGTCCCCTTACCCGACTCGGCCGTGGGGTCCGGCGCGTTCTCCGCGCCAGGCGCGGTGCAGTCCCACCGCTTGCCCTTGAACTGGTCGCGACACTCATGCAGCGCCAGCCGGACGCCCTGCACCACCGCGTGCACGTGGTCCAGGCGGCGCAGGCACATTTTGCGCTGCACGGGGATAGTCCCGGACCCCGATGCACCGCGCCGATACTCGGTGGTGTTAGAGTGGAGGGCCCACTGCGCAAGCGGCCTGCAGAGGGGTGGGAGTCGCGGTGGCTAGGAGATGTTAACTACCTCGCCTGGTGTACAGGAGGTCGTGGGTTCGATCCCGAACCTGACTCCTGCTGCTGTATATTTGGAGTTTGGGTGTCTCTCTCTCATCACCATCACGGTGGCTAGGAGATGTTAACTACCTCGCCTGGTGTACAGGAGGTCGTGGGTTCGATCCCGAACCTGACGCCTGCTGCTGTATATTTGGAGTCTGCGTGTCTCTCTCTCATCATCATCACGGTGGCTAGGAGATGTTAACTACTTCGCCTGGTACGCAGGCAGTCGTGGGTTCGATCCCAACCCCTTACAAGTAAACCCGTAAAAACAAAGTTTTTCACTATAAATCCTTTATATGCGTGGCGGCTAGAGTCTCTCGTCCGTCTGGCTTGAGATGGCTGCCACCTATGGGTCAGATGATTGTCTGCCACCATTAAGCAATTGGTAATTAATATTTAATTTGTTTTCCCTAAACAGTGTAAAATTTTGGAAAAATTTTTTCAGGAAAATTATTTGTCACACACAACGAGTCTGTGTGGAAATGTCAGCTCGATTGGATCATGGGAAGTGGGTTCAAAAACGAGCGAAAGATTTGCACGGTCGTAAGCAGCAAGCACGCAAGCAGCAAGCACGCGAACTTAATATAAAGGATTTTAAAAAATGCCTGCTGCTGCATGTACGTGTTGAGTTTGTGTGTCTCTCCCCATGGTCGCGTTGATTTTTCTCCAGGTCCCTCTGGTTTTTCCTCCTCCTCCTCCTCCTTCGCATTTAGAATCAACGTCTCTACGCGTTTGGGGGTAATCCGGCTGCCACTATCATCATCATCACGTGGTCATTTATATCGGCCACTCCCTTGAGCTACAATGTGCGACAGACAGACCACTCCTGAGAGAGAGAGAGCTACAATATACAATGTCAAAGAGCTATCTGTGGAATTTCTACAGGTTTTAAATGTGAATATTATTACGCCATGTATACACACACCAGAGGTCGCAACCGGGTACCCGATACCCGTACCCTACCCGATACCCGGCTACCCGTACCCGGCCGGGTAGGGTACAGGTACGGATACCCGATTGCGACCTCTGGATGAAGCCATGTTGCAGGCGCGGGTGGGTTGATTCCAGGAACTTGAATTGTGAGAAGAGACAAGACGTTGGGAAATGAGTGACAAACGGTGACTCACCAGTGACTCACGGCCTACCCGTACCCGTACTCAGCCGCACCAGGGTCGCAAACGGGTACACGTACCCGGCCGGAGGACCACAGAATAAAAAAAAGCTTATACGACCACGGGGAAAACATAGCAACTCTAACTATACGGCGTGTTATAAGGTCGCAATTGAACCCACGACCTCCTGCATAACAGCCGAGGTAGTTAACATCTCCTAGCCACCGTGGTGCCCGCTAGACATTGTGTACCTAGTGTATATACACACACGCACGAGATAAACAAACATTCCCGTACAACAACCGTATGGGGTGTGCAACATATTGGCGAGATAAGAGGTTGCTTAACGTCGAAACTTGTGCGATCGTCGCAGCAGTGAGGCGGAAGACAGCAGCGTTGGCGTCTCGCGTTTACCACCAAGAGGAGCTGCCCACTGCCCACAGCTGTGTCAAGACGCAGAGACCCAGCAGAGGGCAGCAGTCCATGCAGCGCAGGGAGCCCATCGCAATCCTCGTGGTCAGCTGCGCTGCGCACAAGAGACGCGGGCCGTGACGATGTTAACGCCCTCGCCTGGTACGCAAGAGGTCGTGGGTTCGATCCCGACCCTGACGATGCCTGCTGCCGTATCTTTTTAGTTTTCATGTCTCGCTCATCGTCATCGTCATCATCATCATAACGGTGGCTGGGAGATGTTAATGACCCGTGTGGTACGTGGGATCGAACCCACGACCGCTTGCGTACCAGGCAAGGAGTTAACATCTCAAGTTCAAGTTCAAGTACTAGGTGTAGCGCTGTGAGGCATTCGGCTCTTGAATTGGGTGCAACCGCAACAACAAAAGACAAAAACATGAACAAGAAAACATCTAAAAGTGACTATGTGACTGAGTGCAAACAGAAAATCCAAGAAACGACAGCAAAATGTTGCAGAAAAAAACACCGTTACACCAACGCTGTGCAAACATCCCAGTGGGATGCAAGTCAAACAACAACAACAACCACAAGACAACTTAGATTAAGGCCATCAGTCTTACTCCGTACTACAACAAACGTGGTCAAACCAGTAAACTTTTCGAAATCACCAAAATAAAAGCAATGAAGCAGTGATCATAGGAACTGTGACGGAATTTTCACAATAAACGACATAAACAACATGTACCACCAGAACCCTGCAGCCACAGCTGGCTGCTGCATGAGTCACTCCACAACAGCAGCAGCATCAATCGGAGTATCAACATTTTTCAATGCACCTTTAAGATCAGCACACTAAATCAAAACACAGGTTATACTTTGCAGCGATCATCCGGAGCGAAACATTTTATTTTAGGCCACTGAATAGCACATTACACTGGTAATGTGTTATATACACACACACACACAGTGTTATATATATACACACACACACAGTGTTATATACACACACACACAGTGTTATATACACACACACACAGTGTTATACACACACACACAGTGGCGTACCAGGCACTCATGAGGCCGAGTAGACCTAGGGGAGGCCCATGACCGGTTCAGATAATCGTCACCGGTGTGGCCGTGAGCGGGAATCGAACCTAACACTTGCACACACACACACAACACTGGTAATGTGTTATACACACACACAGTGTTATACACACACACATACACACACACGTACCTTCGGGGCGAAGCGGCTAAGGAACGAAATCCTTTCGCGTGAAGACGAAAAGAAACCGCATCCGCAATGTGGCCCCATTCCTAATCAAATAGACGGCGATCGCAAACGAGTTTCCCCGTCGTCGGCACCATCTCACCTGGCAGGTAGACAGACAGGCACGCAGCCTGGCAGGCGGGCAGGCAGGTAGACAGGCAGGTGGGCAGGTAGACAGGCTGGCAGGCGGGCGGGCTGGCGGGCTGGCAGGTAGACAGGTGGGCAGGCAGGCAGGTAGGTCGGTAGGTAGGCAGGTACACAGACAGGCAGGTAGACAGGTAGTCAGACAGGCAGGTAGACAGGCAGGCAGGTAGACAGGCAGGTAGACAGGCAGGTAGACAGGCAGGTAGACAGGTAGACAGGCAGGCAGGCTGGCAGGTATACAGGTAGACAGGCTGGCAGGTAGACAGGCAGGCAGGTAGACAGGCAGGTATACAGGTAGGCAGGCTGGTATACAGGTAGGCAGGCTGGCTGGCAGCACAAGGTGAGGAATGAACTCCCCACCACCACTGCAGTGTCTGTGGCAAGCCCTTTTATCGAGTGGGTAGCCTTGTTGTTGTTGTATTTAGTCATGATGAGTCAGCAGGGCGTGCTGCTTGTGATGAGTCAGATCCCACGTGCTCCCGTGATGATCTAATCCCACACACGCGCGTCCCTCGCAAATGAAGTACCGGTGAAGACACTTGACGCCGAGGTGGAGGCACACGTATATTTATTTAGCACAACTCGTTTGTGACATACAGCACTGGAGGGGGTAGCGGCCCCCTCACCCGACTAGCTAAGGATACACTTCCTAGCTAGTCCTAGCCTGCCTCACAGTCCTCCACTATTGGGCTAGGGGAGGCTACTTGGCCCGACACTGGTAAGTCGGGCCCGGTACCCGGAGTCCCAGACCAGCTCTTAGAAGAGCACCGGCTCTGGCTCTCGGGACCACGCCGCTGGCTCAGTCCTGTTCGGCCCTGACAAGGACATCGAACGAGGGGAGTCCAGGGCTCTATCTAAGACGTCTTCAGTCTTCTTGGTTAGCTTTTAACATAACTGACTCGAGCCCCTATAACGTCCCCTTTTATACCCAACCCTCCTTGAGGGGTGGGGCCCCGGGGGATCATAACGCCAAACCAGCCCCCCCCAGGGTGTCTGGCTCGGACGTCGCAGAGGGCATCTCCCCGTGCACACACGTAGCCCCGCCCACTGTGTTTGTTTCCCATAGACTGCCATACATAACGGGCCCTCTCTTTAACACTCCTACACAAACAAGAGGCACCCTGCCCCGATCACTGTGACTTGGAGTTTGTTTGAATGTTTCGTTTGGTGGAGGATGATTGTTACTGCAGCTCGCCTTGAATCCGTGTGCAGCAGTCACCTGAATGTCACTCGCGTTTGACATGTTCATGGCTAATGCCGGGCGAAAACAATAACATGTCCCGCCTAATGTGAGAATTATGCAACGGCAGACGCTTTGAGCAAACCCCCTTGAGTTTCGATTTTATTTTTATTTTATTTAAATTGTATTTTTTTTAAATGTATTAAAATTTTCTTTTAATTTTTTTATTTTTTTTATTTATGTAATATGTTTGTATTATGTTTTAGTTTAAATCGAAATTGTCTATATTTATTTATAAAGTTGCGCATTTTACTGTGACGTCACATTTCTTAACCCCTTCCCCTCGTCACACATCGTCACAAACGTCTGACCGCCCCCCCCCCCCCAGGTGCGTGACGTCATTTATGGACCTTGTTGATTATTCTAAATGGAGCAGGGAGGGGGCGGAGTGGGTGAGTGAGTGACTGGGTGGGTGAGTGAGTGACTGGGTGGGTGAGTGGCTGGATGAGTGAGTGAGTGAGTGACTGGGTGGGTGAGTGGCTGGGTGAGTGAGTGACTGGGTGGGTGGGTGAGTGGCTGGGTGAGTGAGTGACTGGGTGGGTGGGTGAGTGGCTGGGTGAGTGAGTGACTGGGTGGGTGGGGGAGTGGCTGGGTGAGTGAGTGACTGGGTGGGTGGGTGAGTGGCTGGGTGAGTGAGTGACTGGGTGGGTGGGTGAGTGGCT